ATTTGCTCAGGCCTCCTCCACCAACCATGGGCCAACTTCATTTGACTCTCTTTCGTGTTAAAAAATAGCAGCAGCAACAACACCCTCTCATGGATTAGAGGGTACTTAGAGGGTCTTCGCTGCTACCTTCATTCTCACAGCTACTTCAGTGCCACCAACCTGGCCCCTCCCCCCAGCCCTCCGTTCTCTCTCCACATCTTTCTGCTCACGGCCCCCAGGATGTTATTCGTTCATTTGCCGTGAGGCAGCCCGAAGCTCCAGCAACATGGAGGCCACGTAGACCATGTCTGGCATCCTGCCTCACATTGTTGGACTGGACGTGGGACTTGAGGAGATCACGCCTGCTCTGAGCCCCAGTCGTTCCTTCCTTCATTCATCCATCCTACAAAGACACCTTCCGGCTCTGGAGCCTGCTCTGGAGATGGAAACTCACGCACAAGATCGCCATGAGCACCGCCCGCTGCTGTGAAAGAGAGCACCGGGTGTCTGTCAGGCTTGCAGAGGGTTTAGCCAAAAGGGGCAGGCGTGGTGGGTATGGAGTGCATTGACCAGCGCGGGCCTGGGAGCTCAGAGGACGCGTGCTCCTCTCGCACTGTAATCAAAGGCAGCCCGACAGGGACAGCCCTGCCCTCCTTTGGAAGGTCACTGTTTCTTCCTCGGTCAGAACCTTTCCATTGTATTTTTGCCTCAGACCTGAAACCCGTGCTTTTCGGTGTTGAACAGGTTTTGTTTTTTTTCTCCCTTCTAAGCCAAGCCTCTCCTCGGTTTCAAAAGCACAATCATGTCTATTATCATCTGGGCTTGAAAGCTGGGGGAGGTGGATAGTCTCCGCTTTTTGTGGATCAGCTTAGCCCTTTTTTTTTTTAACTCTCCTTCCTTTCATGTCCTGTGTCTACTGCATAATCCTAAAGAGTCTTCCTTTACAGGCTTATTCACTTCCTGCTTCGTTTGTTGACTAGCTGGTCACCCCTGTTCTAATCTAAGCCTACGGGTCAGCCTGGCTTCTTGTCCTTCTGAGACCCTCTGTGTCCGTGGGGGCAGAAAGAACACCCTGCCCTCCTTCAGCGCGTTGGGTGAATTCAATTCACGATGTGAGTGTGTGAAACATGGAGCCCTTCACAGTGCAGCGCAACCAGAGAGGGAGCTGCCTTTTAACAACAGGGGATTCGTGTAGTGTGGTTCCTGCAAGTTAATTTCTGAGGTACATAATGTTTACTTAAAGAAGGGGCTTCCAGAAAACGTACACTTTTGACTTACTGGGTAAGCCATTGTGTATATGCGTTGAGGTGAATGCACAGTTCTAAATGAACTTGTCGCATTTGACTTTTTTGAATGCAGGCTGGCTTTTCATTGGAGTTTTTAAAAATAAGATCTTGCCACAATCTTTTTACCCCCATCCCACCACCCCCCGCCTTTTTCCCCACTTACCAAAATAAAGGTGAGCGTGTTCTACTAAATAGAGTATAAGGAGGCAGGGAAAAAAGAGCTAATCTGATAAGTTTGGGGATTTTGCAAACCAGACAGGGAAAAATGAAAAGCTAATCTATTAGTTTGAAGGTTTTACAAACCAGACAGTTTTGTTATTACTCTATGGGCTTTGTTCACCGGTTCATTTCTGGGCATGCTGGAACGTGTGCTCGGTGCTGCAGGCTAGACAGTGTGCGTGACCTACAGTTGTCCTCCTTGCTGGTTGCCCTCGAGCCAGCCCCTGACTCTCTGTGACCCGTGCACTGAGGAACACAATGCTATTCAGCCCTCTTCCCGCCCCAGCTGGACTGCGGATCAGACCTTTGTGATCCTCAGCGTTGGCATTGGCTGACGTTTGGAAGTCAAGCACAGGCCTTGCACAACAGCATGCAGACTGCCACTGACAGACGGGCGGTGACGACACGTGAGGTTCGGTGTTGGCCAGGAATCAATTCCAGGCTTCCCACATGGAAAGGGAGACTTCTCCCACTAACTCTCAGGCTCCCTGGGCTATACTAACGTAAACAACCCCCTGCCCCTGAACCAGTTCAGATTCAGAGTGGCTCCGTGGAGGAGTAGAATTGGCGCCTGTGCTCGAGGCAGGACATCTTTAGGACAGCAGAGGGCCTCTTCTGTAACCCGTGGTGTGGCTGGTGGGTTTGAACCACCAGCCTTGTGAATTAGCAGCTGCCATGGCTACTTAATTTAGGATAGCGTGAGTCTAAGAGGAGTCAGCAAACTGCAGCCAGCCCTAAAGACCTCTTCTTACTGCCTGACTCACAAGTTCAGGTGGTGTTTACATTTGTGAAACGTTGCAAAAACAACACAGAAGCAAACAGGCAAAAGAAGATAAATGGCCTGGAGAATTTAAAGTGTTCCCTCTCTGGCGCATTGCAGAAGGTTTGCGCACTCCTGAAGTTTATCATTTAGTGGGAAAGACCATCATACACCAGGGAACCAAAAAAAAAAAAAAACCCATGAAAATTAATGTTCAGATTTTTGATAACTGATAAGCAGGGCTGAGGTGAGGCTGGGGAGAGTGGAATGGGATTCCTTGAAGTTGGTGACGTTGAGATTCGACTATAACTGTGGGCATGAATGGCCTTGTACAGATCTGGGCCGACCAGCCCCTTCCTCTCTGCTCCTTCCTCTCCTTTCACCTCCACAGCCCTCAGCGAGATGCGGACTCACTCGTAGGCAGCCTGCTCCGTGCCTTCTCTTGCATTGCCCTGTTTCCCTGAAAACAAGACAGTGTCTTATATTAATTTTTGCTCCCAAAGATGCGCTAGGTCTTATTTTCATGGGATATCTTATTTTTCCATGAAGAAGAATACGGTACACATTTATTGTTGAAAAAAAAAAAAAGGAAATGTATTACCTGTATACGGCACGGTAGTAGTTGTCATCACAAACCAGCATAACCAGACAAACTCTGAATCCTACAGCATCAAGAATGTCTTGTTACTACCATTATTTCCATGTACAACAATCTATGGAACATTTACTTATAATCTATGGTACATTTACTCACACTTCCTGTCTACTCCGGCCGTGCTGTGACCAACAGTGAGCTGTGGGGCAGCGCCAGCTGCTATAGTCCAGAGTCCAGAGTTACGGTAGCTTCAGGGGGCCTTATGTTCGGGGAGGTCTTATATTTCAGTGTGAGGCAAACTGTAAGTAGGTCTTACTTTCGGAGAAACACGGTACCTTTAACACCACATTTCCACCTGATGTTATCACTGCCTGTTACGTACTTTCATGTTCCCTCATTAGATTTGTGTTACTTGAGAGCCAGGACTTGTCTTAGGACTTAGGTGTTTCTAGCCTTTAGCTTATAAACTAGTTTGACTAGTTAGATACAGTTATAAACTGAATATTAGATTCCATTCATCCGGTCTTCATTTATCTTTAAAAATATATGTTTAGGGGGTAGAGGGTACATATTATTCCCGTTTCATTCTCTGCTTCTAGAACTTTGCTTCTCATTTCTAAAATAGGGTTATTGCTCCCTCCCCCAAATACCCATTTTCTCTCTTAATAAAAGATAACACCCATCCTCTAGTGCAGGGGTCCTCAAACTTTTAAAACAGGGGGCCAGTTCACTGTCTCTCAGCCCCATTGGAGGGCCGGATTATAGTTAAAAAAAAAAAAAA